ACATATTGATAATATGTGCATTAGTTGGTGTGCTGCACCTATTAACTCATCATTTACATTAGGTATAATCTCCCTAATGCTATTCCCTCCCCACTACCCTCCCCACGACAGGCCCCGGTGTGTGATGTTCCCCCACCTTTGTCCAAGTGTTTCATTGTTTCAATTACCTATATGAGTGTGAGAACATGCGGGTGTTAGGTTTTCTGTCTTGCGATAGTTTGCTGAAGAATGATGGCATTCCAGCTGCATCTATTGTTCCTATAAAGAACATAAAACTCATACCTTTTTTATTGGCTGCATAGATATTTCCATGGTGTGTATGTGTGCCACAATTTTCTAAAACCAGTCTGTCACTGAGGACATTTGGGTTGGTTCCAAGACTATTGTTATGTGATAGTGCCGCAAAATAACCATACGTGTGGCAATGTGTCTTTATAGCCAGCATGATTATAAGTCCTTTGGTATATAATACCCAGTAATGGGATGCTGCTGAGGAGTACAAATGTATTTCTAGGGTTACTAGTATCCTTGAGAATACGCCCACAGCTGTCTCCACAATGGTGAACTATTTACTAGTCCCACCCAAACAGTGTAAAAAAGTTTACCATATTCTCCATATGTAACAAACCTGCACGTTATGCACATGTATCCTAGAACTTAAAGTATAAATAAAAAAAAAGAAAGTGAACTATAACTAGATTTCTTTTGATTACTATACCAGCTATTTTAAAGCTTATGTAAATACTTGTAAAATTAATTACTCATAAATCTCTTGTCTTGCCTGTGTAGAGTTATATAAGAATAATATCGGGAGAAGGTGTACAACTGAGTCCATGTCATTTAAAAAATCTCTAAATCTCTTTAACATTTCTGCCTTCAGAATTGGAATACAAGCATATCAGAGTAATTCTGAGAGAGTTTGTATAGACTTACATTTATATCAAATTTTTTAATGAAAGAGAAAAATCTAGCAGGTTAATTTAGTCATTTCACTGATTAGTACCTTCTCACAAACACTCCTCCAGAAGAAACCTTTTTTTTTACTCGCCTCTTCTCTTTGTTTGACTCACAAGAAGCGCTGTCTTCCTATAAACAAAGGAAAAGAGAGTCAAATACAATTTTCATGCTAGCACACATTTTCGTCTTTCTACATTGCCTATTCAAAAGAAAAAAAATTAACCATGCTAGTATTTTCAACTCTGATTAAATTTCTTTTAGGATTTTTTGTGAATAAATTCCCAAATCTGAAGTACCAGTGTATTATATTGTGCTGAATCGTATGACTAGGAGGCAACTTAAGAACTAGAGAAAGAATATAGAAAATTTAGTGGGTAAGAGGTGGCTACTTGTCAGATATAGCCAATTTTCAGTGTTATCTCATTCAGTTTTATCTCTACCTAAAGATCCCCAGACACTAATATTTAACAAGATATTGGTAACTGAAAGTGTTAGTATGTCATCTTCTGGATTCTTTTGCCAGTCCCATAGTGCTGCGAATCATTCCCTAGCTTCCCCATTCCCTCTTTTGTTTTTGTACTTGATCCCTCTACTGCTCTAGTCTCATTGTGCACTTTGCCTAGTCTCCTGGTCTCACTGTTTCTGAATATTTCTTGTCCATCTTGGTATTCTTAAGACCCAGCACGGAAGAATCAATAAATACTATGGTAAGGAGCAAGCAGGGCTGGAAACACAATGAGTGGTCACTAGATGTTAATTATCTTTGAGTAATTCTTCCAATCAAAAATGCTCTGCATCTAGTTAGGCAGGACAGCTCTGAACACAGACGCTCTAAGAACAGCACAAGGACCATGTCCCTGGGGAGAGCCCATGGCTGGAGTTAGTTCCCCAGGGTGTTCCTGCCCACACCTTTTCTAATGAGTCCAGTTAGTTTAACTCAATAGTGTGTGAACATGGAAGTAAGCTGCCATTATCCAACACTGCCTGGAAAAACAACCATGCATCTGGTCCCTCCCATATCCCTCAGCTGCAAACTTGAGAGTAGGATAAACTTCTAGCTTTCTCTTATAGTGGCCAGGTGTTTGTGGGCATAGGGCAATACAGATGGTCTCTTCTCTTGGAAAAAAAGCTTAGTGGCCAGTCTGAAGAAAAATAACAAACCTTTGATTGGGACTTAGCATATGATACGACTGTTCTTCGTACTATACATAAAAAATAAAGTGTAGTGAGTAGCATTACCAATATTTTAAAGATGAGGCCAGGTGTGGTGGCTCACGACTATAATCCCAGCACTTTGGGAGGCCAAGGCAGGCAGATCACTTGAGGTCAGGAGTTCAAGACTAGCCTGGCCAACCCTATCTCCATTAAAAATACAAAAATTAGCTGGGCTTGGTGATGCATGCCTGTAATCCCAGCTGCTCAGGAGGCTGAGGCATAAGAATCGCTTGAACCCAGGAGACAGAGGTTGCAGTGAGCCGAGATTGTGCCACTGCACTCCAGCTTGGGCGACAGAGCAAGACCTTGTCTCAAAAGAAAAAAGAAAAACACTCAGGTGGGGCAGGAGTTTAACCTAATCTAACTAGATGGAATTAGAGAAAGAATATAGAAAATTTAGGGGGAAGAGGTGGCTACTTGTCAGATATAGCCAATTTTCCAGTGCTTTAATAAGAGTTATGACTTCCAGAAACAGGCAGGGTATGGTGGCTCACATCTGTAATCCCAGCGCTTTAGGAGGCTGTCGTGGGCAGATCGCTTTGAGCTCAGGAGTTTGAGACCAACCTGGACAACAATCCCCCCTCTCTACAAAAAATACAGAAAAAATTTAGCTGGGCATGGTGGCTCATGCCTGTAGTCCCAGCTACTCACGAGGCTGAGGCTGGAGGATTGCTTAAGCCTGGGAAGTGGAGGCTGCAGTGAGCCGAGATCATGACCCTGAATGCCAGCCAGGGCACAGAGTGAGACTCTGTCTCAAAAAAATTAAAGAGTTCCAAAGACAGTAATACTTATTTTTCTTTACCTTTTATATATTAGAAGAGACCTTAAGGATTCCAAATTTTCTAGAAACAGTGGTTAAATAACAAAGTCCCTCCTAACACCAAATATGTAACTTGTTCTATCAAACCAAGTCTTAAAATACAACTACTTCAAAAGAAAATATGTACTTGGCATTCAACAGGCCTTCCATAATTGTTCACTGAAGGTTCCATATCTCCAAATTTCTAAGAGCTTCTGCATTTGGAGAACATTTTTCACCAAGATTACTCGTTTCTTTATCTTACATTATAGCCAAGAAGTATATTTCTCCCTAATACATGTTTTCTCCTAAACTCAACAGAACTATATATTAAGATACTAAATACATGAATCATAATGCTTAAGCACCAAAAGCAATTCTAAATGTAAATGCAATCTATTACTACAACAAAATTAGACAAAAATCCTTGTGGTGAAAATGTATATATTTTTTTACCCTGAAAGAATTAACAGGTTTGTTGAACAGATTAAAATTCTACACATAAAACTGTTGACTTTGTGGATCTACCAATTATTGCTGGGATATATGGAATTCTTATTTTTCAAAAAGCCTATGCACTCTGAAAATTCTAGACAGCATATGAAACTATAAGAGAATTCCACCTTCTTGCTTACCAGTACAGACTCTTAACAGTGTCAAAACCAACCCTTCTCCCCCAAAAAAGTAGGGTATAAACAAAGAGAAAGAAAGGCAAATCACAAACTTTTACAACTTCCCCAAGCCAAGAGTTAAATGTGGATAAACTCCCTGAAATCCTCAAATTACTCCACGGGCCACTCTAGGTACATAAGCTAGGATGTCATAGGTCAGAGAGAAGCCCAGCAGAAACCATATCAAAGTTCAACCTTGTTCCAGACCTTTGTAGGTAGAAAATAAGGTTAAGTGAAACATGGAAGGTAACCGTGGAATATTGCCAGTTCCCGGTTAGCCATTCTTGATTAGCAAACATGGCCCAAAGCTGTAGATCAAGGACTTCCTGAATAATACTGGTTCTGGAGACAGAAGCTATGAGTTCAGTGCTACATAAATCTCTCTGTGGACAGACAGCTCTGCCAAAGCTATTACATTATATTTAAGTATATATTTAAATATATATATATATATAAAAAATACTTAAAACATTAGTTTAAATTTACTGTTTTAAGTACTATATATATATCAAAGAGCACAAAGGAAAAAAAGGTACAGCTTGATGCATTTTGTGACCATGACTGAGATCAAGAGATTGGACATTACCAGCATCCCGGAAGCCTCCATTTGCCCCTTCCTAGGCACTACTGACTTATCTTACCGATTTGTGGACTACATGGAATCATACAGTATGTACTCTTTCATATTGCTTTCTTTTAGTCAGCACAGTGTTTGTGAAATTCATTCATAGTGATGTGTAGAGTAGTAATTCATACATTTTCATTGCTATATAATATTCCATTGTATGAATATAGCAAAATGTATTGATTCTTACTGTTGAGGGAATTTTTAGATGATTCTAGTTTGAGAGATATATATAATAAGGCTGACAAGAACATTCATGTATATATTTTTTGGTGTCCACCTGTGTACACAAAGAAACATGTACTAATTCCACTAGGAATTGATTTTCCAAAGTGGTAAAGCCAATTTACACTGCCACCATTGGTATATAAAATCTCCAGTTGTTCCACATCCTCACCAACATTTGGTAACGTCCATTTTAATTTTTGCCATTCTGATGGGTATATATTGGTATCTTGTTTGGGTTTTAATTTACATTTCTAATAACCAGTGATTTTGAGCACAATTTCATGTTTACTGGCCCACTTGGATATCTTCTTTTGTGAAGTGCCTATGCAAGTCTTGCCCAGTTTTTTTACTGGACTGTCTTTTTCACATTGATTTGTATAAGTTCTTTATATATTCTGGATACAACTTTTTCAGATAGGAGTGAAGAAAGAAAAGCAGAGAGAAAGAAAGGAAATATGTTTTTCTACACTTTGGCTTGCCTTTTCAAATCTGTTCATATAATCTTTGATGAACTGAAGTCTTATTTTAATGAAGTCCAGTCTACCCATTTTTTCCTACCCCAAGATCATGAAGATATCCTATGTTATATTTTATCATCTCAACTTCCAATTTAAGACATATCTTGAAATATATGGTTGAACTTATAGTGTAACATTTTAACAAAATTATTACCAATTTTTAAGTTTTCATAAGTAAATTAACCCTATTAAAAAGCTATCATCAGGCCAGGCACAGTGGCTCACACATGTAATCCCAGCACTTTGGGAGGCGGAGGTGGGTGGATCACAAGGTCAGGAGTTCAAGACCAGCCTGGCCAAGATAGTGAAACCCCGTCTCTATTAAAAATACAAAAAAATTAGCCAGGCGTGGTGGTGGGCACCTGTACTCCCAGCCACTCGGGAGGCTGAGGCAAAGAATTGCTTGAACCTGGGAGGTGGAGGTTGCAGTGAGCCAAGATCACGCCACTGCTCTTCAGTCTGGGCAACAGAGCGAGACTCGTCTCAGGAAAAAAAAAAAAAAGCTATCATCAGAAGTTTTCAAAGAAACAGTTTCAAAATAAATGTTCCTAAAAGCACAGAAAGAGGGAGTGTGAGGGGTTTATAATAGCAGTAACAAGTGGTGTTAAAAGCATAGACTTGGGGCTAGACAGGTTGAAATCATGGCTAGCCATCTAACAAGCTTTGTAACTTTATAAATTGTTCATTTTATCTGAGAGTTGATTTCTTCATTTGTAAAATGAAGATGGTATCTGCTGAATATAAAGTCTTAACACTAAGCCCAATATACTCAAAACCTGTTGTTAATGATGACCAAGATGATGTTATTAACATAAGTTAAATGATCACAAAAAACTTAGATTTTCAGTACTGTGGGTAAACTAAGTGCCCACTCATGCTGTACTACAAATGACAAGAAGCCCTCAGACCAGTACGAGGTGCTTGATGGAAGGAGAGATCACGTGTGACCAGGGAGACTAGGAAAGGGGTGATCAATGAGACGGTTCCTAGGGGATTTTACAGAGTCAACAGGCAGTTTTCAAGGTATATGGACAAATTGAACAAAGGCTTAATGATGGGAAAGCATAGGGTAGCTTAAGAAAAAATAAGCTATTAATATATGTAGGAGAATAGACAAAAATAAGGTTGGTGAGGTAGGTTAGGGCTGAATGTCAAACTGAAGAATCAGTACTTATTCAGGTAAGGAAGATTTTCAATCCAAGGAGTGACAAGAAAATCAAGCTGACCACTGTGAGTCAAATGGATTTGGATAGAGAAGGAGTAAATACCAAAATTCTATCACAGTAGTTCAGAAAGAAAGATATAGAAACCTAAACTAGGGAAGCAGTGAAAGTAGAGAGCATGTTCCCACCTACGGGATGGGCTCACTTTTTGTATGACCTAAAGGAGAAAACATAGCTAATCATTAAGAGTCCAAGACTGGGTAGTTGAGAAAATAGTGATGCCATTAATTTAAATGCAGAGATAGGGGAGAGAATCTGGTCTTGATATTGAGCTTGGTTCTGAACATTTTTTTTTTTTTTAATTCAAGCACCACCGAGAATTTCAGGTGGAAATGTCCAGTTGACAAGCAGTGAGAAATACAGGTGGGGAGCCCTGGTGGGGACAACAGTACTAAAGTATGGATTTGATAGTCATTTCCACAGAAGTATTAGAAAACTATAATCTGGAGGCAGAGATTCTGAGTTTGCTCTTGCCTTATACTAGCTGTATGCTCTAACAAGACTCTCAACTTCTCTGAGCCTCTGCTTTCTCATTTATAACACGGGATCAAATATATATATATATCATTCTACCTCCTCATAGGGTTGATGCAGACTAAAATGAGATAATATCTGAGAAAGTGCTATAAAAACAGCTGTTATCAAAAAAGTGCTATATGTCAAACTATCCTAGGAAACTATTCTAAGATTTTTTTTCTCAGTAAAAATTGTACTATTGCTGATTATTTTGGGGTCTGACCAATCTTAAGGTACAATAGAATGCAATCATAGGTCCTGACCAGAAGGTGGCAGGAGAAAGACTTAGAGCTTCTTGAGGATTCCATATTTATAGTTCTGAATGATAAGTTCATTTTACTTATACTTTATATATAATTAGACTCCCAAATAAATTCTTCCTATCCTTAGCTGCATGTGGCTCTACACGTTTATTTATCCACTGACCGTATCAATTCATCTGTAATATAGAAAATGGAAAAAAAGAAAGGGAGTAAATAATACAACGACTACTACTATATAGTGAATACCTCTGTGTGCTAGAAACCGCATTCAGGATTTCTACACAATATTCCATTTAACATCAATACAATCCTATAAGGTAGGTATTATTATTCCTCATTTTAAAGACAAGGAAATTGAGATTCAAGCTTTTGCAAGTGAAAATAAACAGTGCCAGAGTTGCAGCTGCCATGAAAGCTCAGTGACATTTGCTTATTTACAAAAATTAGGTATAACCTAAAGCAAGAATGCAAAAAACAATGAATTCTGAGCACAGGGACCTTGAGTCAGCTCTCCTGAAAGCCTACACATTGTTGGTAAAGTGAAGTTTTAGGGAAGCAAAACTGTGGAGTATGAAACCAGATCCAACCTGAGAACAGATGCTTCTGAGTAAGCAACGAGAATTTCTAAATAGTTAAAAGACAGAAAACATTTCTAAGTAGACAGTTTGGAATGGTTCAAAAGAAAATGTGTAGCTTGGGTGACCACCCCAAAATATTGTCCCACCTAGGCAGCTGAAGAACAACAACTTAGCCTTGACAACAAAGCAAGATCCCGACCTTACAGAAAAAAAATTAAAAAAATAAAAAAAACTAATTGGCCAGGTGTGTTGGTGCATGCCTATAGTCCCAGCTACCTGGGAGGCTGAGGCAAGAGGATCAGTTGAACCTAGGGAGTTTGAGGCTACAGTACCCTATGATGGCACCACTCCACTGAAGTATGGGTGACAAGAGCAACACCCTGTGTCAAAAAAAGAAAAAACAAAGAACGACAACTTACCTTTCTACTTTTGAGGAGACTGGGAGTCACAGAGTCCCTGCCACAAGGTGGAGAGGTAACAGATTTGATTGGAAGCAGTAAGTTATAAATGGTACTGTGTCCTGTAGCCCTCTAACCAACACATGACTGTATAGCTGGCCTCTCTGATACTAAAGTTTCCCCATGTGCTAAAGGTTGTACAAGAAGAGGGTTGCAAAATGAAGAGAATAGATTAATTATTATAGTTAATTATATGTCTTGGAAAATCAACCACTGGTGAGACACCAAAACCCAGAGAAACTGAGGAAGCGATTATATTTGCATATGCATAGAAATACACATGCATGTTTGCAGATAAACAGAATTTTGTCTAATATGGTATGTACTAAATTGTTAACAATAACTTCTTCTGGAGAGTGGAACTTAGTGTCAGAAGGAACATCTATCTTGTTTTTAACACTATACAACAAACATGTTTTATTATTTTAATATTTTTAAAGTGGTTATTGAAGAGACCAATGACTAGTTTGTGCAAAATAAAAAGAAGCCAGGAAGATTCTATAATATTAATAGATCAGATTTGAGGTGACACAAGCCTCAAACAGAATTAATTCATCCATGATGACTGATGAAGAAACTTCCCTATGGAAAGAAAATATGGATTCCATTCAAAGCACTTTATTTTGGTTATTTAGAATATTAAAATATACATATCCTCTAGCTGTCTTAGAATTCTTATTGATTACTCTGCTTATGAGAATATTTTCTCCTTCTATGGTACAATATTAAAAATAATACTTAGGAACCAGGCTGCTGTTTGAAGAAAGAAAGATAGATAGATAGATAGATAGATAGATAGATAGATAGATAGATAGATAGATAGATAAAGACAGATGTGTGTGTGTATATAGAAAGTTACATAGTTACATATAGTGTGTGTGTGTACATATATTCCTTTAATCCTGTCATCAGCTCTAGAAAGTATAAGTTATCATCGCCAGTTTATAGCTGAGGCACAAAAAGGTTAAATGAGTAGCCCAAATCAAAAAAGACTATAGCCAGGATTCAAGTCCAAAGAGCCCCAGCCCAAAGCTTGTACTCTTAGCCACTCTTGTATATATTTGTTGAGAAAAATAAATGTATTAAAAAGGACACCAACCATAGCCACAAAGTTGGGGACTTGAATTTTTTCCAGTGTTTCCCTGAGTTGATCAACCTCTGCTCGATATTCATCAAGCTGACATTCTAATTTTTCTCTGCGTAGTCGCTCATACTCCAGCTGGCCCTGCAGTTCTTTGATGGTCCTATCAAAAACAAAAATTTTTAAAAATCAATCACCAATGTCAACTAACTATTTTTAATAGTGGAAAGCATTCATGCATTGTATTTAAGGCAAATAAAACAAAGAAATCATTTATTCAACAAATATGTATTAAGGTTCTACTATGAACGAGCACTGACCTAGGTACTAGGGATACAGTGGTGAACGAAAGGCCCAAAATCTGCCTTCCTGGACCTTACTACTGCATAGTAGAGATATGCAGACAATAAAGAAAATAAATAAGTAAAATATATGGTACGTTGGAAGGTAGTAAGTGCTAAAGGAGAAAACAAAAATAAAGCAGGAAAGAGTAGTATAAAATGTTGTGGAAGAGGGGCTTAACATTTCCTACAGTGGCTAGGGAAGGCTTTACTGATAAGGTGGCTTCTAAGCCAAGCCGTGAAGAAAATAAGAGAGATAACCCTGTAGACATTAGAGGAAAAGCATTCCAGACAAAAGGAACAAGTACAAAGGCCCTAAAGTAGAAGTATGCCTGAAGAAGTACAAGAAAAACAGAGGCCAATGCAATAGAATCGTTTAAAGAATAAAAGGGAGGCCAGGCATGGTGGCTCATGCCTGTAACCCCAGCACTTTGGGAGGCTGAGGCAGGTGGATCATTTGAGGCCAGCCTGGCCAACACGGTGTAACCCTATCTCTACTAAAAATACGAAAAAAAAAAAAAAAAAGTCAAGTGTGGTGGCACACACCTGAAATCCCAGCTACTTGGGAAGCTGATGCATGAGAATCACTTGAACCCAGGAGGCGTGGATGCAGTGAGCTGAGATCATGCCACTACCCTCTAGCGTGGATGACAGAGCAAGACTCTGTCTCAAAAAAAAAAAAAGAGAGAGAGAGAGAGGCTGGGCACAGTGGTTCACACCTGTAATCCTAGCACTTTGGGAGGCCAAGGCAGAAGAATTGCTTGAGCCTAGGAGTTCAAGACCAGCCTGGGCAACATAGTGAGACCCCCATCGCTACCCCCAAAAACATTTTTTAAAAAATTATCTGCGGTGATGCACACCTGTAGTCCCAGCTACTTGGGAAACTGAGGTGGGGGGATCCCTTGAGCCCAAGAGGTCAAGGCTGCAGTGAGCTGTGATCATACCACTGCACTCCAGCCTGGGTGACAGAGTGAGACCCTTTCTAAAAAAAGAAAAAGGAGAGGGACAGTAGTGTGAGTCAGAGACGTAAAAGAGAACCAGAGTAAATAAGACCTTTTAAATCATAGTAAAGACTTTGGCTTTTATGCTGAAGGAAATGGGAAGCCACTGGAGGGTCCGAGCAGAAAAATGGCACAATCTGACCTGTAATGATTGCCCTGGATACTGTTTTAATATGATTACAATAGATATGATATGATTACCCTGTTTTAATATTACTCTGGATACTGTGTTGAGAATAGACTACAGGGTAGGGGAGTGGGGGATATGAAGGCAGGGACAGAAAGTAGGAGACCGATCAGGAGGATGTCGCAATAATCCAGACAAGAGGAGATGTAATTTGAACCAGGATTTTTCTACCTTATGGCTGGATGGTGAGGGGAAACAGAATTCCCAAGGCATGTTAGGTTGGGTCCCGGAAGGGCAATCTAAGAATATACAGTAGTAGCTCTGGTACAGAAGTGAGTAAGGTTAAGATTGGGGATAGAGAGGAAGAATGTCAATTGTGGAAGTCTAGAAGTTTGGCAAATAAGAAGGGAATATCATCCCCAGGACAGAGTAACACAAACATGTTTTATTGTATTGACAGATTGGTCTAACTGATGGACAACAACAAAAATCAAAAGATATCCCTCAAGCCAATACTTGTCCAGTTTTTCTTTACAACTATATCCAAGATCAGGAGTTTGTACCCAAAGAATAAATGTCTTAAGATGCACTTAACACAGCGAGGTGTGGTGGCTCATGCCGGTAATCCCAACACTTTGGGAGGCCGAGGCAGGTGAATCACTTGAGGCCAGAAATTTGAGACCAGCCTGGCCAACAAGATGAAACTGTATCTCTACTAAAAATGGAAAAAAAAAAAGTCAGTGTGGTGGCTCACGCCTGTAATTCCAGCACTTTGGGAGGCTGAGGTGGGCAGATCACCTAAGGTCAAGAGTTCAAAACCAGCCTGGCCAACATGGGTTTCCCTACAAAAATACAGAAATTAGCTGGGCATGATGGCATGATGGCAGGTGCCTGTAATCCCAGCTACTTGGGAGGCTGAAGCGGGAGAACTGCTTGAACCCGAGAGGTGGAGATGGTGAGCTGAGATCACACCATTGTACTCCAGCCTGGGAGACAGAGCGAGACTCAGTCTCAAAAAAAAGAAAAACAAAAACAAAACAAAACAAAACAAAAAAAAGATGCACTTAACGCAAAGTGGAGAACAAATGCTAGAGAAGAATTAAAACTCACTCAGGGTGGAATTTAGAAGAAACACTGCCATCTCAGCTGATATGAAAATGCATTCTGGCATAAACATAAAGCAATTTTTTTAAAAAACTCTGTTCAAAAATCACTGACATTAATAATATTTCACACTGAGCAACTAATCCATAACTAGTCGACTAAAAGTTCCATTAAAGACTATTAAAATTATAATGATCTTAAACAGGGTTAGAATCATAGACTTAGGCTCAAATCCTGGCTCTACCCCCTCTGTGACTTTACCCAAGTTACTTAACCTCTATATTAAGTCTTGGTGTCCTAATCCGTATAGCTCATGGAGTTGTGAGGATTGCCTGAGATAAAGTATGTAAGGGGCTTCTCTGGTGCATAGCATATAGTAGTGCTTAGAAGTAATACAAATAGCTGTAGTGGTAGTATAGTAATCTGCTTTAGAAGAAAAGTAAAGGAAACCAAAATTTAAAGCTCATTAGTAGGAAATAATTTTTCCACCATGAAGTACTTTTCTAGACTACAAGGAATCTAAGAACTTTCAGCTAGGCTCTTAGACCAAGGTTAACACTAAAAAAAATTCTACATCTCAAAACACTTCAAACAATGTAGAGGCAGTGGACAGCCACCTATACGATATGATTTGTGAGATACCAAGAAAGCCCCTGATTTAAAACAAACAAACAAAAAAAATCAGTCTGCCACAGCTTCCTAGTGTCTAAAATCAAAATCACATCAAGAAGTAGTTTCAGTTAATAGGGTAGCAGGGAAAAAAAAACAGAAAAAAGAGTATTTTGGCCTAACGTTTTGCCTTCTGTTTAAATTCCCAAGTACCTATCCATGGAAGAATGACACATTAATCCTTATATTATTTTTTATTTTCTTTCTTTTAAACTAGAGCCAAATGTCAGCTTAACTACATTAATCCTTATCAAAGATTTAGATGTTACTCTGAATACAGTTAGCAGACCTCTTTCAGAGCTAGATTCGGAAGTGGGTGGAAAAAGGGAAACAGGCAGTTCTAAGAGTGTGACGGAACAAGACACAACCAAAGGAAAGGGCAGGAAAAGCAGAGAATAAAGAAGGGAATCCATGTGTGGTTCTCTTTCCGGACCCATGTTTGATTAAATCCAAAGTTTCCTCTCCTATCTCTTTCTGTTCCCTGTCCATTCTGGAAAGCAGATAGACAAGCAGAGAGACAGTAGGATGAAAGAAGCTCACGGCATCCTCTATCCCAGCAGCTATTAACTACAGTAGTCCCTCAGTATCAAAGAGGAATTGGTTCCAGGAAGCCCCAGACACCAAAATCCATGGATGCTAAGTCCCTTACATTAAAATGGTACAGTACATATGTATCTGCATATAATCTATATGCATTCTCCTGTATACTTTGAATCATCTCTAGATTACTTATTGTAGTAGTATACAATAAGTTGTTGTAGCACATTATTTAGGGAATAATAACAAGGAAAAAAAAGTCTATAATGTTCAGCAAAGACACAACCATAGTTTTTTTTTTTTCCTGATTATTGTATCTCCAAGTTTGGTTGCATCCACGATGTGGAGCCCACAGATACAGAGAGCCAACTGCAATTAGAGAGGTACCCATCATCCAGAGAGCCAATTTAGGGTACAGGAAGTGAAAGGTAGAGACAACCATCCACTTGCTCACTGCCTCTAGATGCAAGAGCATTCTCTGATGGGTACTATAATCAGTGAACATAAGACCTAGTCTCAGATTTATGAATGGGCAGTGTAGCCTGATGGAAATGTTCAGAGACTACATTAGAATGTCAGTTTTGCAAGATGAAGAGAGTTCTGGAGATTGGTTGCACAACGATGGGAACGTACTTAGCACTACTGAATGGTATACTTAAAAATGGTTAAGATGGTAAATTTTATGTGTATTTTATCACAATTATTTAAAAATCTTAACTCCTTTGCCATCTGGAGGCTTAGGAGAAAAGCAGGATGGAACCTAACACCCTTTGGCAAGATGAAAGAAAAAGTTGCTGATGAACAAACCCTCACATGGCATTTACAGAGGTATTTAAAAACAAATCATTAAAGTTTTGAGGACATTACTTTTCAGACTCGAGCTGTTCTTTCTTCTGCTTTAAATCTTCTTCTGTTATGCCTCCCAAGTGTTTGTAGTTGCTCTCGGCAATTTCCAGGAGGTGTCTCAATTCTACAATTTTCTTGTAAGCTCTCACTGCAAAACAGAGTTGAATAGGAACCTAGTTAGACATATAACAGCTCATGTGTCCACTGGGTGCTGGTCTTCTTGAGCATATTCTTCCTCTAGACTAGTGTCTGTATGGTTTGGAGAGGGGGTGGAGAAAGGTTGGTATATACAAAGAAGGGTAAATATAAGTAACAGAATACTAAAATGAGCATGCAATGAAATACCTAAATGGAGGATTCTTTCCCTGCTACTGGAGCATGTATCAGGTTGTTATGACTATTAATGCTATGAACAAGAAGGTTTTAAAAGACTAGCAGTATTGGCCAGGCACGGTGGCACAGGCCTGTAATCCCACCACTTGGGGAGGCCGAGGTGGGTGGATCACCTGAGGTCAGCAGTTCGAGACCAGCCTGGCCAACGTGGTGAAATCCCGTCTCTACAAATAATAAAAAAAGTAGCCAGTGTGGTGGTGCATGCCTGTAATCCCAGCTACTCACGAGGCTGAGGCAGGAAAATCACTTGAACCCAGGAGGCGGAGGCTGCAGTGAGCTGAGACCATGCCACTGCACTCCAGCCTGAACAACAGAGCAAGACTCCGTCTCAAAAAAAAAAAAAAAAAAAAAGACTAGCAGTGTTTTAGGACTAATGGTGGATTACAGGACTACGTGCAATCTACTATGTAACAGAAAATTAGAAAAACTGAAATAAGTACCAGCCACAAATTTTGTGATTGGTCACTTGTAGCACCTATGCAAGAGAATAGTAAGAGAAGGAAGTATATTGAGAGATACTCTGAACTATTCTCCAACTATCAGAACCATGACATCTCCATCTTTTATGGCAGTGGTTCTCTATCTGGGGTGATTTTCTTCCTCAAGGGTCATTTGGCAACCTCTGAATAAGTTTTGCTTGTCACAGCTTGGGAGTGGGAACAGGGAGGTGCTGCTGGCATCTAGTAGGCGAAGGCTCAGGATGCTACTAAACATCTCACAGTGCACAGAAAACCCTGCCTCAACAAATAGCCAGGCGTGGTGGTGGGCACCTGTACTCCCAGCCACTCGGGAGGCTGAGGCAGGAGAATGGCGTGAACCCGGGAGGTGATGGAACCTAACACCCTTTGGCAAGATGAAAGACACCAATGATTTATCTACCAACAGGTTAGAGCTGCAGGTTCTAAACTGCATACACCTGAATCAAATGGGATGCTTTTTAAAAATGTATGTGCTTGAGCCCCATTCCAGACCTACAAATTCAAGAATATGTACTTAATAAAAGCTCCTCGGTCAGGAGCAGTGGCTCACGCCTGTAATCCCAGCACTTTGGGAGGCGGATCACTTGAGGTTGGGAGTTCAAGACCAGCCTGGCCAACATGGTGAAACCCCGTCTCTACTAAGAATACAAAAATTAGCTGGATGTGGTGGCACATGCCTGTAATCCCAGCTACTCGGGAGGCTGAGGCAGAAGAATCACTTGAGCCCGGGAGATGAAGGTTGCAGCGAGCCGAGGTCATGCCACTGCACTCCAGCCTGGGCAACAGAGTGAGACTTTGTCTCAAAAAAAAAAAAAAAAAAAAAAAAAAAGGGCAGCCAGGTGCGGTGGCTCACCCCTGTAATCCCAGCACTTTGGGAGGCCAACGCGGGCAGATCACGAGGTCAAGAGATTGAGACCATCCTGGCTAACATGGTGAAACCCTGTCTCTACTAAAAATACAAAACAAAATTAGCCGGGCGTGGTGGCAGGTGCCTGTAGTCCCAGCCACTCGGGAGGCTGAGGCAGGAGAATGGCGTGAACCCGGGAGGTGGAGCTTGCAGTGAGCCGAGATGGCGCCACTGCACTCAAGCCTGGGTGACAGACCGAGACTCTGTCTCAACAACAACAAAAAAAGGCTCCTCAGACAATTCTAAAGGGCAGACGGGTTTGGGAACCACCATAACCACTAGTAAGAAGGTAGAGGGGATTAAGATAAAAAATGTCAGAAAAGAATGAAAGAGCAGTATTTAGCTTATATAATAATTTCTTTATTATTTGAAAGTCTGTGTTTTGTAAAGCCTGTTCTATGGGGTCCTCAGAGGCAAGAACTAAGATTAATTGGAATTAGCTCCAGGAAGAAAGATTTCAATTCAACAAAAGAGGAAATTTCCAATGAAAACAATAAAAATCATGTATTTATGCAGTGTCTGTGATGTCGAGATACTACACTAAGTACCTTATACATTTTAATCCTCACAGAGAAGAAATGCTTCTCAGAAGAAGACATACACACAGCCAACAAGCATATGAAAAAATGCTCAACATCAGTAATCAATAGAGAAATGCAAATCAACACCACAGTGAAATGCCATCTCACATCAGTTAGAATGGCTATTATTAAAAAGTCAAAAAACAACAGATGCTGGGGAGGTTGTGAAGAAAAGAGAACATTTATACACTGCTGTTAGGAGTGTACGTTAGTTCAACCATTGTGGAAAGCGGTTTGGCAATTTCTCAAAGAACTCAAAACAAAATTAACACATGACCCAGCAACCCCACTATTGGTATGTACCCAAAGGAATATATATCATAGTATATTCATACTATATTCACACTATATTCATACTAGAAAGACACATGCACACATATGTTCATCGCAGCACTATTCACATAGCAAAAACATAGCATCAACCTAAATGTCCATCAACAGAAGACTGGATAAAGAAAATGTGGTGTGGCCAGGCACGGTGGCTCATGCCTGTAATCCCAGCACTTTGGGAGGCCAAGATGGGCAGATCACAAGGTCAGGAGTTCAAGACCAGCCTGACCAACATGGTGAAACCCCATCTCTACTAAAAATTCAAACATTAGCTGGCCATGGTGGCACACACCTGTAGTCCCAGCTACTCGGTAGGCTGAGGCAGGAGAACCACTCGAACCCGGGAGGTGGAGGTTGCAGTGGGCAAGATCGCACCACTGTACTCCAGCCTGGTGACAGAGTGAGACTCTGTCTAAAAAAACAAAACAAAACAAACAAGAAAAAACTTACTACCATTCACCGAATTCCCCAGGCCAGAAATCTGTCATCCTTGATTACCCTCTTTTTCTAACACCTCATAGCCACATCTATCAGCAAATCCTATCATCTTTCTCTTCTAAATACACCCAAATCTCACCACTTCTCATTATCCCCATCATCTCCACTCTAGTCCAAGCCATAAACAACTCTCTCCTGAACTATAGCCATAGCCCCCTAACTGATTTCCCTGCTTCCACTCTTGCCCTATGAAGGAAAATGGGCTTTCCACAACACCAGAAATCTGGAGGCAAAAATAGTCAAGGCCAACAAGATCTTGGCTTGGCTTTCACTCTATCTTCCCAACAAGGTATGATCTTACTGATGCTGATTTTTTTCAAGAACCAGGATATATATATAAATATTGCCTTAAACAAATACATAGAATGTTAATGTAAGCTCTTCTTAAATGGTGATGAAAGCCTCTAGTATAAAAAGGCGGAAGCAAAACAAGAATGGAGATATCCCATATCACTGGTAGTTACAGGCCTACATCAGGAACTCTAGGAGCCCAGGAAATCTGTGCAGATATTCTACATCTGCTCTTGTACAATTCTAATTTAGTATCCTTGGCATCAGGATATAATTATATCAGGAACTTCATCCAACCTTATATAGTTAGGTGGAGTATGTTCTTTTCCCACCTAATTCATACCCCATATGAAATGCTATGCTCTTGTCCACCTCCTAGTCTATCACCCACTCAACAGGTAGAGTGACACTGTTTTTAAATGTGAATCAGATCACATCATTCCCCACCCTGAATCCCAACAATAGCTTTCTATTTAAAATAAAATTTATATGCTGAGATTTTGTAGTGAAAAAAGAGGAAAAATGAACAAATAAAAATCTAAAACTAAAATCCTTATTAGGCCCTAAATAATCTGACTGGGTCCTTGCTTACCTTTCAAACCTGTCACCACTTTCTTAGGGATTCTACTCAAGCCACACTAACCATTCTCAATGCTACATAATGGCCTTTACATGCACTGCTCCCTCTGCTGGCATGTTCTTCCAAGATCTTAATATGACTCATTCTCATCACTCAGGTCTCTGCTCAAACATCACCACCTCAGAGAGGCCTAATGACTTTCTTATCTATAGCACCACTCTACCCTATTTTCTTTATATATCTATTTTCTTATCAATTATTTATCACCCTCCCCCTGACTACCACCATTCAAATGAAGTTCCTTTGTATTGTTCACCATTATCTCAATACCTACAACAGTGTCTGGCACATAGTAGACAATAAATATTTGTTGCTATTATTATCTATAACAATCATTTGCCAACTAACCATGGAAATCCTTGAGATGTCTCTTTCCCTGTTTCCTTGATCCACTAAAGAAAATACTTGAGTATTTTCTTATATAACTTTCTACCCCCTGAGGGACAGAGGTTATGTCTTATACTTTTTATATGTTCAACAACCCTAGTACAAAAACTTATATTAGTTCTGGTTCCTGCAAAAATATCAAATTATTTTACTTGTAGGCAGTATTTGTCTTTAGAATAGTTTCCAAACTTGTGGTAAAAAGTGGCTATGTTATTTCTGAAAGGATAAATCACAACAGAGGCAGCATACTTACTTCTGGCATCTGTTTTATCCAAGTCACTCAGACATAAATCATCCTTGGCATCAGTGCTTCCCTCAACACCATGTCTTATAAAATATTTCACATCATTTTCATCAATTTCATTTTCATCATCTATATCATATTTCTGTAGCTCCTCTAACAGCTTCACTGCTGCCAAATGGGCAAACCTGTAGAAAAGAATCAATAACTAACCAGATCCACAATCTTCCTGAAACTGAAACTGCAGCTTGCACTTAACTTAGGGAATTACACTCTGTACACTCTGCCATCAATCCACTCAACAGGCAAGGAGCCAAAATCTGAAGGTCAGTGACAATTTGACATATATTCAACTATATGAGAAACTTAGTTACTTGACACTAAGGACAATTATTCATATTAAACACTGATTCCATAATTTTTACTGGCAAAAATACACTGGGAATGGAGATCCAATATCAAAGGAATATGTGGTATGCTCTCAAGCAGAGCTGCTCAACTGAATAGAAGACCCAGAACCACCCTTTGATTACCTACAGTTATTGCCTTTTCTTGGCCTAATTTAGATTATAGAATTCATTTTCATTTCAGTTTTAGGGCTAACTATTAATATAGCTCTAGCCCCCTCTATCTTCACCCTTCCTCAAGCCAAAGCATTTGGTATGACTTTGAAATTTAATGAAAAAATAATGACCTTTCCATTCATGTTTTCTAATTCTCCTTAATCTTTCCTGCATCTCTATGAAGGTTCCAGTAAGGTACTCTTAGTTTTGGAGTTGTTGTTGTGATTGTATGTAACCTGCATATTTTTCCACAATTTTTCTAACTGGAATTTTTAATATATTTTCTTACAACTTGAAGAATTACTAAACATAAAAATCTTAAATCCTGTTTTCTTATATTTACATAACCAAACACGCACATTACCTCCTACCAGGTACTGCATATCATTAAAGACATAGTAATAAACATATGCAGGAAGTTGTAAGGTTTATAGAATTCATTATCTCTACTACTAGGTTGTAATTTCACAACTGTCATTTACTGAGTGCTTACTTTACGCTAGATTCAAAGTTATATCTAAAATAACACTACACCCACACCAAGCATTTTGGTGCATGAGAAAAAAATGTGGGCCCAGAAATTATGGAAAACTTCAGATACACCTATAGTATTCAATCACCTATTTGATGTTGATACAAAAATATACAAATAGATCAATGGATAAAATAGTTCAGAATTAAGCCCACACATACATTGAGAACTGATTTTGACAAAGGCAGTGTAGAAATGATAGTCTTTTAAACAAATAGTCTAGAACTGGATATCCATATGCAAAAAAAGAACTTGGACTCATACTTCGTATCATATACAAAAATTAACTCAAAATGATCACAGACCCCAATATAAAAGCTAACACTATATAACTTCTAAAAGAAAACATAAAAGAAAAATTTTATGACTTTGTGTTAATCAGACTTCTTTAGATATGACACCAAAATCATAATCCATAAAAGGATAAATTAGTAAGAAATTTTGCTCTTCAAAGACATTAAGAGAATGAAAAAACAAGATACAACTGGTAAGAAAGGGAAATCTTTGCAAAGCATATATCTGAGAAAGAACTAGTATCCAGAATATACAAAGAACCTTTAAAACTCAACATCAAGAAAACAATTCAATTTTTTAAAGTGGGCAAAAGATCTGAATAATCACTTCATCGAAGAAAATATACAGATGGCAAGTATGTATATTTAAAAGATGCTCAAAATCATTTTTCATTAGAAAATGCAAATTAAAACCACAATGAGCTACCACTACATACCTATTTCATTACTGGAATTAAAAAAAAGACCCTAACAATACCAAATGACAGTGAGAATGTGGAACAACAGAAACTGACATCCATTGCTGACAGAAATGCAATTTTTTTTTTTTTTTTTTTTTTTTGAGATGGAATCTCGCTCTGTCACCCAGGCTGGAGTGCAGTGGCGCGATCTCGGCTCACTGCAAGCTCCACCTCCTGGGTTCACGCCATTCTCCTGCCTCAGCCTCCCGAGTAGCTAGGACTACAGGCGCCCACCACCATGGCTGGCTAATTTTTGTATTTTTAGTAGAGATGGGGTTTCACCATGTTAGCCAGGATGGTCTCCATCTCCTGACCTCAAGATCCGCCCGCCTCAGCTGCCCAAAGTGCTGAGAGTACAGGCGTGAGCCATCGCGCCAGGCCAGTTTTTTTTTTTGAGGGTCTAGCTCTGTGGACCAGGTTGGAGTGCAGTGGTGCAATCTAGGCTCACCACAACCTCCTCCTCCTGGCTTCAAGCAATTCTCCTGCCTTAGCCTCCCAAATAGTAGCTGGGACTACAGGTGCATGCCGCCACACCCGGCTAGTTTTTTTATTTTATTCTATTCTATTCTATTCTATTCTATTCTATTCTATTTATTGAGATGGGGTTTCGCTCTTGCTGCCCAGGCTGTGGTGCAATCTCGGCTCATGGCAACCTCCACCTCCTGGGTTCAAGCAATTCTCCTGCCTCAGCCTCCCGAGTAGCTGGGATTACACGCATGCACCACCATGCTTGGCTAATTTTGTATTTTTAGTAGAGACGGAGTTTCTCCATGTTGGTCAGGCTGACCTCGAACTCCCGACCTCAGGTGATCTGCCCACCTCAGCCTCCCAAAGTGCTGGCGTGAGCCACTATGCCCAGCCTGAATTTTTCTTTTTTAGTAGAGACGGGGTTTCACCATGTTGGCCAGACAGGTCTCAAACTCCTCACCTCAAGTGATCCACTGCCTTGGCCCCCCACAGTGCTGGGATTTCAGGCATGAGCCACCGTGCCCAGCCCCTAGAAACGCAAATCTGTATGGCCACTTTGGAAGGCACTTTGGCAGTTTGTTATAAAATTAAACATACACTTTGCATATGGCCCAATAATCCTACTCATAGATTTACCAAATAATTAAAAACATGTTAACACAAAAACTTGTATAGGAATGTTTACAGCAGCTTTATTCATAACCACCAAAAAATGATACAATCAAAATGCCCTTCAACCTGTGAGTGGATAATCGAATTATGGAATGCTATGGAATTCTACTCAGCTGTTAGAAGGAAATGAACTACAATCAAGATGTCCTTCAACCTGTGAGTGGATAATTGAACTATGGAATACTATGGAATTCTACTCATCTGTAAGAAGGAAATGAACTGCTAATACACATAGATGAATCTCAAAATAATTATGTTGAGTGAAAGAAGCCAGACATAAATATATATTGTATGATTCCATTTATATAAAACTCTAGAAAATGCAAACTAATCTACAGTGACAGGAAGCAGATCAGTGGGAGCAGTCAAAGGGAGAGAGATTATAAAGTAGCAGGAGACTTTGAGGGTGATGAATATGTTCACTATCTTAATTGTGGTAATAATTTCACAGGATATGCATATATCAAAACTCATCAGTTGTACCGTACAAATATATGCATTTTATTGTATGTCAATTATACCTTAATAAAGTCATTTTAAACCAATAAAATAGACTTGAGTTGATAATGATCCCAGGTACATGGTACAACAAAACCACACTCCAAGGCATCAAAGAAATTCCATAAACAAAATTGTAGGGAACATGAGCTCACAAACAAAAGTTGCATGGCAACTTAGCAAATGATTGGACCACAGCATACTGTCAAGCCTCATCTGCCATTGTTAGCCCATACTCCTAGTTTAGATTCCAGCTTTCTACTCCACATGCAGTTCTTCAAACATACAAGGTGTTATCTTACAACTCCTCCTTAGGTTTACACTTATGCTTACGAGTATCAACATAAATGTTTCTTCCTCAAAAAAAAAGTTTTTTTCTTTGACCTCTATCTAAATTCTGTCCCCATGCAGTTTCCTTCATAACTTTTACCATCCTCTGTATTAAAGTTTCTCCCTTACAACTTTCCAACAGAAAGACTTTTTTCTATGTTCTTAGTGTACCTTACACATACCATGTAATACAGTATAATGATTAGAATTAATAAGAATTTTATTTGCATATTTCTCTCTCCACAATACTGTAAGCTCCTTGAGGGCAGTGACTGTGTCTTCTCCCCTTTGTATTTCTACCACTAATCACAGAACTTGGAACATGGTAAATATATGGGAAGCTGAATGAAAAAACAACCAAATGAACAAACAGATGGACTAAATATTTCTTGAGAACCTAACTTGAATGAGCTGGCTATGTTTAATAATACGTGCTATATTTAATTCAGATGTAAACTGCAAAATATGTTTCAAAATCCATGTCATTTATTTTTCTATTATTAATGCTATTTATTTTTATCACATAGCATTTCTTAAGAGGGAATGCTACAGGCATTTGGATGGGACAAATAGTGCATTACTGTTCTGAGCACTGCAGAATATTTAGCATTCCTAGACCTGACCTCCAGTTGGTGAAGGTCTCCTGACCTCCAGTTGGGGGTCTCCTTCCCCAGCATTTCCAAAGACCCCTCCCATGAGAAAAGGGGAAAATATTACCTCCCAGTTGAGAATTACTGCTTTAAAGAGAAAAGCTGATATAATGATGGCTGTAAATTCAGCTTGAAAATTGTCATTCCATCTATATTTGATTGAGTCCTCTAAAATTCCATCAAATCTTCAGAGATTTTTGAGTCCAAGAAAGTATATGCAAAACTTTAAAAGCAAAAGAAAGGAGTAAAGAAGACAGATTTATACCTCTTTGCCACATCACTGGGTCTCTCCCCTGCTTTGTTGGTAATATTACTGTCTGCTCCCATTTTAATTAACCATTGCAAACACTCTATGTGGCCTTGTCCAGCAGCTGTTCAAAAAAAGGAAAAAGAACAGGAATTACAAAAAAAGTTATAAGTAACAATTTTCTAAAATTTTGGATAGTACCATTATAGAGTACTTACCTAAGTATTGATCCTTGCAGTAACTGGCAAAAGTACGTTGGGCAAATATTATTTTCTCTATTTCACTTACTAATTCATTAGACAAACATTTAATCAACTGTGTTCAGGCCCCATACAGATAATTTTACATACGGATATAAAAGCTGAAACTCAAAAAGTTTTTTTATGTATTTATTTAAAATCACACAGCTAGTAAAAAGTAGTTTGAAACTAGAACCCAGGCTTTTCTAATACTATCCAGCACTTATCTCCTACTATAAATAGCTTCTAACCAATCTTGTATTTCACAAGAACGTGAGCACATTCTAACCATAAGAACCTACACAGACTTCAAAAAGTCTTGCTTCAGCATATATTTATATGATAGATGTATGGTATATATGAATTCTTCTGATTCTTACAACTCAAAATTTATAGGCCTGTAAAACCACACTTGATTACCTCAACTGTTTACCACCTTTGTCCAAATCTTTACCTCAAAACACATGCTGTCTTTATTTTCACCTTCACAACTCTGCTTAATGTGTCTTCCCACCTAAAGCCAATCACTCAACAATGTGCTCATTTAACCTGTAACTATTCTTCTTTATCCATCTTGAAACTCAAGGAAGCTGAAGAAAACAAACGGAATAGACTTAAAAGAAAGACTTGAGTTTAAGTCTTTTAAACAATAAGATGTGAGGACAAGGCTGTAATCTTCATATCCCCAGAACACAGCAAGTGGCTGCAACTTATAGACCCTCAATAAATGTCTCAATAGAGTTGATGAGTGAATAAATACATTTAAAAAATGAAATCTCAGCTCTGCTATTACTAGCTATATATCTAACCTCAGTCAAGCCACCTGACTTCTCTAAACATCAATTTCCTCATCTTTTACATAGATGATTATTTCATAAGCAAAGCACACTGCTGCTTTATAAAACTGCAGTAAGGATTAAATGTGATAAGAGCTTTTCACTCTCTAAAGTAGTATATAAACATCAGGTATTATTACCAAATCCCTATGAACAGTTCCTCAATAATTTGATCCTTAGCAACTTCTTCACCCTTCAATTCCTATTCCTATGACATATATTTTAACAACCTAATTATTTTTTGCCATTAATTGCATCCCATCTTAAAAGAAATCTCTAGTTCTTTTATGGTACAATTATGTAACTCTTTAACAGTAAGGTCCAGATCTCATTTTGGCTCACAGTACAGGCACATGGTTGGTGCTGAATATGTATACATGACCTTGCAAAATGAATCAAAGAGCGAGAACTTTTGGTATTTATTTGGTGCTTTAAAAAGCAAACACACCTCCATTACTGGCAACAGAGAGGACACAGAGCAATATCAAGGGACTAAACAACCCTATCACTACAGTCCCACAGCCCAGCTGGCAAGTCTGTAAGAACTCTTGTTCTGTTGTCCTCTGCCTCAGAGCCATCTGCCAAATTACAGGCTGGCTTCTGCAGAGTCTGGGGCTTCTCTCTTTCCCACAGAGTCTGGGGCTTCTCTCTCTCCTACAGCCTATCTAACCCACTAACACAGAAACTTCACAATTTCTCAGACTTCTATTAATAACCCCACTTTAGACAAAAATGGCAACATATTGATCTTTCTGTCATTAAGAGTCACAAAATCATATTTATGAGAATGGATAATGCTGAATTTTACAAGACAGAATGAATTTAGCCCAACATTTCATTTTATCACATGGGAAATGTTTAAAAACAGGAGGGAGGGAGGTTAAGTTATATATCTACAATGAAATGCAATAAAAGGATTTACCTAAGATTTTTACTGAATATTGATTAGGATATGTTGACTAATTTGACCAATGTTTTATAAGGAACAAGACAAAATTATACAGGTGTTAGAAATTTTTAAGAAATGACTTGAAATAATTATGATTTAAGAGCAAGTTTAAAAAGGGGAAGTCATAGATCTAAACAATTATTAAATAACTAAGAAGAATGCCTCAATAATAAATACCACAGCTTATCTCCTAAATGCAATTAAAACTAAAGGAAAAGGCAGTCTGACAAAATGTGAGAAACATGAATTAAATTATAAACAGATATCAACTTTTATATGACCAATTTTAGTACAGTATAAACATACAGATGGTACCCAAGAAAAGGCTAATGTCTTAATGTACTTCTGAATGACTGGAGGATCAATGAAAAAATTAAGAAGGAAGTTGAAAAATTTCTTGAAACACATGATAATGGAAACACAACATACAAAAACCTATGAGATACAGCAAAAGCAGTACTAAGAGGCAATATTGTAGTTTTAAGCGCCTACATCAAAAAAGAGAAAAAACTTCAAATAAAAAATCTAATGAGGCCAGGCACTGTGGCTCATGCCTATAATCCCAGCACTTTGGGAGGCCGAAGCAGGTGGATCACCTGAGGTCAGGAGTTCGAGAGCAGCCTGGCCAACATGGTGAAACCCTGTCTCTACTAAAAACACAAAAATTAGTCGGGCATGGTGGTGTGTGCCTGTAATCCCAGCTACTCGGGAGGCTGAGTCAGGAGAATTGCTTGAACCTGGGAGGTGGAGGTTGTACTGAGCCAAGATCGCACCACTGCATTCCAGCATGGGTGACACAGTGAGACTCCATCTCAAAACAAACAAACAAAAAATCTAATGATGCATCTTAACAAGAAAACCAAGAGTAAGCCAAACCCAAAATTAGTAAAAGAAAAGAAACAATAAAGATCAGAGCAGAAATAAATGAAATTAAAATGAAGAAAACAATGCAAAAGATCGATGAAACAGCTGAGTATTTTTTTGAAGAGTTAAACAAAACTGACAAACCTTTATCCAGACTAAGAAAAAAAGAGAGAAGATCCAAACAAATAAAATCAGAAATGAAAATGAGATATTACAACTGATACTGCAGAAATTCAATGGCTCATTAGTGGCTACTCTGAGTAACTATATACCAATAAATTGGAAAATCTAGAAGAAATAAATTCTTAGACACATCCGACCTACCAAGATTGAAACGGGAAGAAACCCAAAACTTGAACAGACCAATAATGAGTAATGATATCAAAGCCATAATAGAAAGTCTCCCAGTAAAAAAAAAAAAAAAAAAAAGCCCCAAACCCCAATGTCTTCACTGCTGAATTCTACTAAAAGTTTAAAGAACTAATACCAATCCCACTCAAATTGCTCCAAAAACATAGAGGAGGAGGGACTACTTCCAATACTTCCAAACTCATTCTACAAGGCCAGTATTACCCAGACTCCAAAACCAGACAAAGACACATCAAAAAATAAAACTACAAGCCAATATATCTGATGAATATTGATGCAAAAATCATCAACAAAATACTAGCAAACCAAATCCAACAATACATTAGAAAGATCATTTCATCATCACCAAGCAGGATTTATCCCGCGATGCACAGATGATTCAACATATGCAAATCAATCAATATGATATATACCGATAGAATGAAGAACAGAAACCATATGATCATTTCAACTGATGCTGATAAAAGCACCTGACAAAATTCAACATCCCTTCTTAATAAAAACCCTCAAAAACTGGGTGTAGAAGGGACATACCTCACCATAATAAAAGTCATATATGACAGACCTACAGCTAGTATACTACTGAATATGAAAGCCCTTCCTTTAAGACCTGGAACACAAGGATGCCCACTTTCTATTATTCAACACAGTACTGGAAGTCCCAGCTAGAGCAATCAGACAAGAGAAAGAAACAAAGGGCATCCAAATTGGAATGGAAGAAGTCAAATTATCCCTGTTTACTAATGATATAATCTTATACTTGGAAAAACCTGAAGACCCCACACAAAAAGACCTATTAGAATTGATAAGCAAATTTAGTAAAGTTGCAGAACATGAAATCAACATACAAAAATCAGTAGCATTTCTATATGCCAACACTGAACAATCCAAAAAAGAAATCAAAAAAGTAATCCCATTTATAATAGCCATAAATAAAATTAAATACCTAGGAATTAACCAAAGAAGTAAGGGATTTATATAGTGAAAACTATAAAACATTGATGAAAGAAACTGAAGAGGATATCAAAAAATGGAAAGATATTCCATGTTCATGGACTGGAAGAATCAATATTGTTAAAATGTCCATACTATTCAAAACAATCTACAGATTCATTGCAATCCCTATCAAAATACCAATGATATTCTGCACAGAAATAGAAAAAAAAAAAAAAAACCTAAAATTTATATGGAACCACAAAAGACCCAGAATAGCCAAAGCTATCTTAAGCAAAAAGAACAAAACTGAAGGAATCACATTACCTGATTTCAAATTATACTATAGGGCTATAGTAACCAAACAGCATGATACTGGCATAAAAACAGACACATAAACCAATGGAACAGAATAGAAAACCCAGAAACAAACACACCTACAGTGAACTCATTTTTGACAAAGATGCCAAGAACATACACTGGGAAAAAGAAAGTCTCTTCAATAAATGGTGCTGGAAAAAAACTGGATATCCATATGCAGAAGAAAAAAACCAGACCCCCATCTCTCACCAGATACAAAAATCAAGTCAAAATGGAATAAAGACTTAAATCTAGGACCTCAAACTATGAAACTACTAAAAGAAAACATTGGGGAAACTCTCCAGGACATTGGTCTGGAGAGTTTTGAGCAACACCCCACAAGCACAGGCAACCAAAGCAAACATGGACAAATGGGATCACATCAAGTTAAAAAGCTTCTGCTCTGCAAAGGAAACAATCAACCCACAAAGTGAAGAGATAACCCACAGAATGGGAGAAAATATTTGCAAACTACCCATCCAACAAAGGATTAATAACCAAAATACATAAGAAACTCAACTCTATAGGAAAAACTCTAACAATCTGATTGTTTGTTGTTGTTGTTGTTGTTGTT